GGTTCGATTTCTACTCGCAAGTCTGATTCACTGAATACTTCGAAAATCTATCATTCATGGAATTTATAACTGTAACTGTAAATTTAATACCTWTCAGTGTAGAAGTAGGTGTTGACCTAATCTCACTGATCGGTTGTGCTGGAACGKCAATACTTGGAGCACTCGGAGGCTTAAAGGTAAGATATCTAAAACAAATGAAATGTTCTAAACATGACTTACTTACAACTATATAATTTCCGCCTTTTTGATACGTAATTGTAGCAAATKTCAGGATCGTTTCCTAAACATTTTCCTAAACTAAAAGTCTTGTAAATATTCATCTTTCCGAAGTTATGTTTACATCGTGTATGATATGCATATTTGAACTGGACGGTTCAAGTCAAKTCATTGAAAGCAAAGCAAAGTATAGTCTTAGATGAAACTATTCTGTCCCTGCCGCTGATATTAAAGAGGATACGCGTAAAAGATTAAAAAAATAACAGAAAAAGGRAAGCTGAAAATACAAAGGACGACGCACACGTCCTATCTCAACAACAACATTGATATATATCTTATGGACATAGAGGTTTGACCAGTGCAAGTTGTTGTGTCTCTACACGAGGTATAATACTGTACAGTTTTAGGTAGAACTAGGCTATCTGTATAACATCGCTTTTTAAAGATAACTTTAATCTTTTCTTTACTATTCTTCAACTATAATCATTTTACAAAGTCAAAATCTGAAAGTGAAAGTGAAAGTAACTGAATGCACAAATAGACTTGAATATGACAGCGACTAAAAGAAGTTATTTTTCTTTTCTATTTTACAAGACTTTCTATCACTACACTAATGAACAGGGTGCAAAAGGGATATTAGAGAGTGGGATAATCAGGGAATCCAAAGATACTCTAAGAGACGCAACATATGGACMAGGTAAAATCATTTCACTTTCATAAAATACGCAGTCAACGACTGNTTTAAGACAATTTCGGGTGAAATGTATACCCTGTTTAAGACAGCAAGGCCAAAAACCATACCCTGGCCAGCGGCACGTCCCCGTATAGCAAATATATGGGAGTACCCCCCCCGGGCCAGGGCGAAATTCCATTGAATGAATTCCATGGACAAGTCTGTAAAAGACAACAAATATGTTTACCGTCTTTACCCAAATTTCAATTTTCACTTACTAGTAATCGAGTAGGAAACCGTAGTATGCCTTTTTAGAATAGAGGAGTTTACACTAGTCGTTGAGTCATGGGTAATCAGGACAAGAGGAGATGGGGAAATAGATGTGCTTTTCGCAATATTTYGTTGCTCATGTTAAACATCCCCAAACCAATTAAACTCTTTCTGTACTGTAGATTGATAATTGACTGTTGAATGTTTTGTGTTTTSTTGTTGAGCTGATCGGGTCATTCTTGCTGCGGCACGATTTTTGTTCAATGATCAAAATCGAGTCGTATCGCAAATCTACTGCCTCCGTCCTTCTAATAATCAGAGTGTCTATTACGCGGAAACCATGCAAAATACATGAAATAAAGGTTTCTCCATCAACTATAAAAGTTTGTTCCYGCAAAAAGTTTGATCATCGCCTCTTAGCAATCTTGTCCTGATTACCCATCATTCATCAACAAGTGAAAACTCCTCTATTTAATCAAGATAAGAGTGCATGTTCCATTTACCATAAATTGTAATCAATTTTCAACTCAGGAATCAGCAAACTATCGAGTTGAGCGGGTTGAGTTGAGTTTGAGTTAACATAATTGATTTAGCCTTGCTCGAGTTAATGTTCAATTTACTATCAAGAAATGTTATAYCAGCCAAAAAGTCTRTTTTAAAARATGGCACTTGAATCAATAAAACCATGWAATAGGAGAAACAGTGTAATTTGCATAGGTAATAGCATGTTTTGTAGTGGTCAAACAAAATGACAATTTTGAAATATCACAAGTGGTATTTATCGCCAAATTCCAAGTACATTCTAAAAATAATTTAAAAACAAAGTAGATGAGATCTCATGAAAGCTTCAATGCAATCTMAAACTAAGTCCAACAAGATTTATGCATGTCGTAATTACAGAATACAGACAGACTYTATGCTGTTATTAATTAAAGGCGCTCAATGAGCGCATGTGCCTACTACGATTGTATGCAAATTGTAAATATAAGTGAAAGCGGATACATARTGGTTTTAGTAAATCTATGGAACACAAATATATAATAGAGCCGAGATAACACAATAAAAAAAGAAAGTGGAGAATATCGATACGTATTTTAGAATACTAATAGAACTTCTCATTACTCCGAATATTGGGATATGAAAGCTGCGAGGAAGAACTGAACTAAGGCAAAATATACTCACCAAAGCAAACGCACCTCGCAAACTTTCACGGCAGTGAATTACCACAAGAAATTTTCACGAACTTCGTAAATCCGCAGAGATGATTTATTCACATTGGTTGCGGCGGTTGTTCGTACTAAAGTTATATGTCCTGCCGATCGCTTCCGAAAGCTTCCTGTGTTTATGGTCTTGCGAAGGGGTATTGATTGCATTTTGACGTCATTCTATTGTAACTTACTCATTTGCATTAGACACGATGACATATAGAGTCTACTACTTCTTAGTAGGCACAAAAATGATTTGAATTGTGTACCAAATAGTTTTGAAATAACTGTTGGTCCGAAATCATGTATTTTATATTTGATCACGGGCATTATGGTTGAATCGGCTGATCGCAAATGCTAAACAGTCAATCAGAGCGCGCAATGGTCTCAACGAAATACTGAGTTCATATGATGMAATAAGTCATACAATGCTCTATTGGCTTATTGTCGACGAGACATAATTACTGTGGGTCATCAAAACGGACCTTACCTCTGGTTTGGCCTTGTGGTATTCAGCAAAGACTGCAGTTCSGCTTCTTTTTGTGCAAAATGTTCAATACGATTGTCTAAAATGGCCGTTTTCTTTTTCAATTTCAAGATGGCGTTTTTTCGCATTTTGACCTCTAATTCTCTTTTTTTCAAAATTGCTTTCTTTCGGCGAGTCAGTTCCAGTTGTTTTCTTTTCTCAGTTTTGATTTGGTTCATCTTTATTCTGATATCATTAAGCTGTGACATCACACTCTAAAACACAAATGTATATGAATGGGATTAGAGAAAGCCTGCTAAAAAAGAACGAATCTGCGCAGTTAARTGACGAATTACTCTATAAGCAAAAAATAGAACCCTTACCTAATATGGTGATAAAATTACCTCATTAAAAGGGTGGGAACTAGAGTAAACTAGTGTGAGCTGCGTCGGTGTTTCTAAAGAAACAGTTGTGTAAAAAGAAAAATTTAACACCGTAAAAAATAGGTGAAACAACTTACTGACGTTTGGGACGTTAATCCTTCGTCGGTAAGTTGTTTAAACCTATTTTTATGGTGTTAAATTTATCTTTTCACTTTTTAACTGTTTCATTAAAAGTTTTTGGTTGAAACAAGCATAAATGCGCTACAGCTCATTTTCTTTTCAAATGGTTGCTATTGTTTCGTAATACTGTGAAGTGAATGATTCCATTTACTGTATTTTTAGGTGTCATATCATGTTGAGGGATATTAGGGGAAAAAAACATTTTCAACTCAACTTTTTATCGTAGGCATACAATCGATAATCAACCTGGAATTGATATCATTTCAAAAACTCATCGTATTTCTATAACGGATTCAAAAATCAAGTACATATCTCTATTAAAGCTATGTACTTGATTTTTAGTTAAGGAAATGAATAAGTTAAATGAAATGAAAGGTATGTTAGAAAAAAACTAACTGCTGTGCTCCTCAAATCGTGTGCTGGAAATGCATCAAAACATAGATACCAGCGCGAAGAAAAACAAAAATGCAAAGTAAATTATACCGCCCATTTTCTAAACGTCGCACCATAAACTCAGGCTTAGTAGAAGAAAGTCCACTAGCTCCCTAGTTGTTTCACTGAAATAGTTGATACACTGAGCATTCAATACCCGAATTTGGCATTGCCTGGTATTGTTTTAACACCATAAAGCTAAAACACCTACTAACCTTACGATTCTCGTTTAATTTTGTTTCCAGAATAAGCGACGTCGACATTGTTATAGGTTCTTTTGCCTTTCTCGTTGCTGATACCTTGGATGAACGGTCTTGTGATCGATTTGAATGTTGATAGGTTCGTCTGGTAGTACTGTCTTCAGTTAATGAAAGATTAGATTCTTGACTTCTACTTCTGGTAGTAACTCCTTGATAAGAACGGTCTTCTGTTGTCGGTAATTGAGACTTTTGACATCTAATTTTCGTTGTATCTCCCTGAAAAGAACGATCTTCAGTTGAAGGAAGATTGGGTTCCTGGTATTTCCCGCTGATTGCAATTCCATTGGAGGAATGGTCTTCACAAGTCGGTGGGTAAGATTCTTGATATTTACTTCTGGTTGCTATTCCCCGAGAAGAACGGTCTTCAGTTGAAGAA